CCAAATTTTCTTCAATTTCCTTACACTGTTTCTCAATCCAATCTTATATGGCTTGATTTCTGTTCTTCCTGATTATTGATATCCCTGTACTCTTTAGCTCCCGAAGGTGTATTCTTGCATTTTTCAGATTTCCCTTGTCCTCACATTTTGAGGATTTCTTGTGTAACCCATGGTTGGATTTTCCTGCGTACTTTTCTAAGCACTTCGTTTGCTGATTCTCTCATAACTTTATTAAACGGATCTGTAAGAGTCCCTGTTTCTGCACTTTAATCTTCTAGCATTAAAAGAGGCGCGAACTTCTCTCCAACGGCTACCTTGAAAGATTCTGCGATGTTGGGGTCTTGGAGTCTGAATCAAATTTCATTCTGGCACTTTTAAGCTTCTTTTTGTTCTTCAATATGACTAAAAAATCAGCATTACCATGATGTGATCGCTTCCCACATCTGCAACAGGATACGTTCGTCTTGTGGTAGCTTGAGGAAACTGGTCTCATGCGAGATGAAATGCTTAAGAAGAGCGGTCAACAAAACAAGAAGAGGCAAAATAAGAAAAATGAATTCATAAGGGACACCGTAGGAGCAACACCAGTCCTACCACACACTGAAAAACAAAAAGGTTAAGGGGTTCAGACACCTCACTCGGATGCCCTCAAACCATCCAGCTCTGAGAGCATACAACATTAAATATTCTGGATGGAGAGCCAGAGGAAGACCAAGGCGACGATGGAGTGAATCAGTGGCAGACACTCTCAGAGCTCACGGTATGTCTCTCCTACAGGCCACTCGCCTTGCTGCAGACACCCACTGGTACAAGCGGAAAAATAAAAGTAAAAGTAAAGTAAAGGTAGCTCTTTTGACACCTGACCCTAATCGTTTCTGCATCAAGATATAATCAATCTGGTTAAGATGGAATTCGTCTGGAGCATGACACGTCCAGCGTCTTGATGCCTTGTGCTTGCCGAGTGTATTTGCAAGTACCATATTGTTGTAAATGGCAAACTCTAGCAGTCGTAGCCCTCTATCATTGATTTTGTCACTGCTAGAAGGACCGCAGATTTATTTCCAGTGATTCAGTGTGTCTCTTTCAACTTTTGCGTTCCAGTCTCTCTCTCTGAATGATCAGCTCGTCTTTTTTGTTGACTTTAACGATGATGTCCTGGTGTTGAGGGTAACATGCCCCCACTTCTTCGTCGTCATGATCAGATGTTGTTGCATAGGCCTGAGCTACGGCGATGTTGAGTGGTGTTGCTCGTAGGTGGATGGAAGTGGCCCAGCTGGAAACTGCCCGGCAACTTAGAAGCGAGTTCTCGATATTCTGAAGGACTAGAAAGCCTGCACGACTGATGTGTTAACCTATTTCCCCACTGTTAGTTGAGTACAAGGCCTTAGGTCATACGTCTTCTGGTGCCGTGTTAACACCAGTCCCTCGATAAGCAATCCGGTTGAGAACAATCCGTTAAATAAAAGTATAGTAAACAGGATATCTCCGACTAACATCAACGCAAATGCACACATATTAAGAAAAGATAAAACATGCAGATGCAAACACAAAAGCACAACCCATATACAAGCACAATTTGTATCTCTTTCTCTTCCCCTCTACCAACTCGTCTTGGCCAAGTAGTTTAGGTACTAATGCTGACAAAGTCACCACCATAGTATGAGACTTCGTGCAAACTTTTGGAACCTTTGGTGATAATGTAAAGATGACTCCACTCGGGAGCGGGAGAGAGGGTGCCCACCTCGTGACTCAAAAGAGCTGAGAAATGTTATAAGTAGGACTAACATGATCTAAACAATTAACTACAAACCAGTTGTGGCAGCCATCTCCAGTTGGGGGTATGGCAACACTTTGATGGGAACTTACCAAAAAACTGTACAAAAGTGAAGGAGCATAATATGTATTTATTTATTTATTAATGTATTTATTTATATGTAAAACATTTTCTTGTGTGTTAACTCTAAGACTAATTGTAGTTACTAAACACAAATAAGTGCCAGATGGTAGAATTGGGCAGGGTAAGAAAAAAACCCAAGAAAAAAACCCCCACCACCCCCTCACATGGTTTTGCACGGGGATTGGCACTGGGAAATTTCAGATAAAACACTGCTTTCATTTTTCAAAAAGGGAAACACATGGAATGCAAAGTTCAGAGTGTTTTCATTCTTCAGTTTTGAACATATAGTTGTCAGGGGTCTAAATGAGAATTAACAGCTTTCAGTAACGTGTTATGACATCTGACATTGTTCACATCTTCACGCCGTCGACGCATGGACGGAATGAATCGAGGTACTGTCTGTTGAGGGATGATATTCCATTCTTGAATTAAGGCTTGTTCTAACTGAGCAAATACCGGGGGAGGCGTGGACTGGCACAAATGGCGAGATCTAAAATATCCTACAAGTGCTCAGCTGGTTGAGATTGAGATATAGTGAATGCGCTGGTCATGGGTGCAGGAGAGGAATGTTGTTAGTTTTTAAAAATTGATTTGTCACAGTAGCCTTAAGGTCAAGTGCTTTATCATGCATGGATACTTGTCCTTGGCTCGATTTTGAAAGAAAAATACATTGGGCTCGAGTACTTGGTTGTTTCAGCCTTGAATTGTTATGCTCTCACGAACAGACACAAGCGTGGTACCGCCAACGTCACTGATTGTAGCTCACACCATGACACAATCTTCACCGAATTTATTTGCTTGTCTGGAGCAAGCTGCGATGTAAACTTTGATTGGGTCTTCCGTAGACTCCGGCCTGGCCATAGTGCTGTTCCAGTCGAGATTGGGACTATTCTGATAACATGTCAGTACGTATTCCAAATACGACGCGGCCATCACACGCGACGCTGTGCCCAGTTTTATGTGACAAACAAGGCCCATAGAACAGTCATGAACAAAGATCACACTGTCATTTCAAAGCTTTTTCGACTCATCCAGGGTCTTTGTTGGTTTTTACTGATTTCACAAGCGTTGCGTTAGGATGAATTTGTCCCCCCCCCTCGGTTTAGTTTTTGTGTGATTGTGTAGACATTTCAAAGCTATTGGATGTGTAGTGTTTGAGCTACACGCTCTTAAAATGTGTGAAAATAAAAATGTGAGGCAGCGTGTTGGAATCAGGCTCTCCTCAAAATATTCAAAATGAAGAAACTTGCATTTTTCCGCATGTTTGTGATTTTTTATCGAATTTTTGTTTTTTGGCTCAACACCTTTCATGCTCATCACCAAACTCATTTCTGTGTGAATTTTTTCTGAAAAATGTAGATTAAAGGCACAAATAAATGTAAATTTTCTGTTACCACCTACTCTTAAGCTAAGTAAATAACTAATCTTTGGCGGCCATTTTCTCACAAATTTTACCTCCGAAAACAGTTGACCCCCATCTCCTTCTTTCGCAAACAGCTCGACCTGTATTCACGATAAACGGATATTTTTTTCCATGCAAATAAGGACAAGTGAACAAGCTTTAAGATGACACCAATAACTCTGACATGCCCAAAAGTTGACGAGAGCCTGATTCCACCACGCTGCCTCACAAATGATATAATATGACTACACCTGTGAAGTTTACTCAGGAAAATTCCTTAATAAATACTTTAAAAAATCCCAATGGAAGGTTTCTACTTAATTTTAAAGGGTTTACAGCTGGGAAAATATCACTTCTTAAAACAACTCCTTCATTTTTTAAAACCACAACATTATGCGTTTGAATGCATGTTTTGAGAATCTTTAGTGAATAAAAGAGTCCACTAATCTATAAAATGAATTTCTTGCAACAAGTTTTGACATTAAAAGGTGTCATTGATGAGCTGTGACATTTTCTTTTTTTTTTTTATAGTAGAGGGTTTTACGGCGCTCGCAACTGCATACGGTCATGTGAGCGCCAAGGGGTGGGTGTCAACAGAGAAGTCTTTACAGGGAATCATACATAGACTGCTCACCTCTCAAGCTTCAACAGCACAAAGTCTGCTTCGATTATCAAGGCACCCCAAAATAGCAGGTCACAAGAGAGTGACAAACATACAAAAGAAGTAGAGGAAAATGACAATAGTAAGGATCAGGAAAGAAAAAGCAGCAGTTCCCTGTTGCAGATCAGGCACAGTTATGAGCGTGACATGAGTCAGCCCATTTACAATTCTACTATGCTTGAACGAGAAGTGTCCCCCCCCCCCCCTTTGGGAATGGCCTAAAGACACTACAGTCAGTGGCACGGGGGGTGCTGTGACATTTTCAGTATGAAGATGAAAGTGCCGTGAACACTCCCGTTTTCTACGTGTGGTATTTCAAATAAAGTCATAAAGAAAAGGTTTCTTTAAATGCCGGCCTAGCCTCAACTTTTGTGGAAAAATGTGATTAAGTTAGGACAAATTGATATCAAATCCTGTGCAAAGTAGAGCTAACATTGATTCACTGTTAAAGAGATATTTGAGGATGGTATTCCGCCACACATTTTTGACCACACCATAATATAGCTATAACAGATGCGATGTTACTTGCCACTGTAACCCTTATATTCCTTGCTATATCTGAAACTTTGACTCACCACAATACCTACTGATTGCCTTTACTTCTCGAATGGACACATCACTGTAAACACTCAAATTGACAAGCACACTTTGTAGGGCTTTTGACGAGTCTCATGTGTCGCTAAAGTTGGTGTCTTTCAGATAACCTCGCTCCGACTGACAGAGTGGGCCCCTACTGGCACAAACAATAACAAAAACTTCAAGCAAAGAATGAGTTTGCAGTATATCATCCGACAGCACTTAAACTGACAGTTTTATGTAGAATAACATGTAGGCCTACGGCCCAGAAATTCCTGGGTCACTTCATACTTCTTATCTGCGGACGTGCTATTGAAAATAATTGAAAGTCATAAGTGGGAGGTGCCTAATCACTTCATGGAATGCAATAGGCTTAATTATATACGGTTTTGTGAGTGTCGTATGGGCTATATAAAGGTAGTCATTTGTTTGCAGTCTTCACGCTTGGCATTCTATCTGGCAAAATGGCATCAGCATGGTTGCTCCAGGCTCTATTCACAACGGTTTTGAGCAATGAAATTCTACAGGCAAGACAAGCGGGGACACACGACAAGTTCCTTTTGGCCAACACCACCTCTGGTACGCTGAGGGGAAGGGTTGACTCTGGACTTCCAGTCCCGGTGGCAAGGTTCGCTGGCATTCCCTATGCTAAAGCTCCGACAGGTGAGAGACTCTCTCTAAATTACTTTCTCTCTTTTGACACTTCGGTTTCTTCATCTCCTCGCCCCACCCAACCCCAACCTATACTCTCGTTCTTCCCCCCTTCACCCTCCCTCACATCTCTCTCTCTCTCTCTCTCTCTCTCTCTCTCTCTCTCTCTCTCTTTCTCTCTCTCTGTCTCTCTCTCTCTCAATGCCTCTCTCTAAAATGGTTTGGCAACTTGTTACGTATTTCATCTGGCCTGCCAGCCTCGAGAGCCTACAACACCAAGCACTCAGGCTACAAAGGAAGAGGAAGGCCACGCAAAAGGGGGATCGAAGATGTCAAGGAAACCCTGGGAAATCATAATATCACAACTGAAAGAGACGCTTAACATCAACACAGGATGAAAAAGTAAAAAGTAAAGTAAAGTATCTTTACAAATCAGCTACTCTGTCTCCAGTTGAAATATTTGGGAAACATTGAAGTCCGATACTTTTAGAAGCATAAGTTACGAACTATCTACATCTTTTGAAGTAAATACTGGTGTTAGACAAGGTTGTTTATTATAACCTGTACTTTTTGGAATTGTGGTCGATTTTGTAATGATGTACAGAAAATACAGTGAAACAGGAAATGGATGGACAAATAGCACATACTATTTAGGAGATTTAGATTATGCGGATGACATCTGCCTGTTAAACATCAAAGTACAAGAAGCGCAATGAAAAACAGACGAACTGACAAAAGCTGTAAGAAAAGTTGGCTTTATAATAAATGTATCTAAAACAGAAGTACTACGACTATCATCAGAAACCACACCCATCAATCTTTATGGAGAATCCCTTGCGGAAAGGAGTAAATTCAAATACCGTGGCAGTATTATATCCAAAACTGCAGACTGTCCTGATGTCGTCCACCAAAGACGTAGAAATACATGGATCGCTTTTGTGAAATTAAAAACTATATGGAAGTCAAAAATCATTTCATTGAAGAAGAAATTAAAAATATATAATAGCACTATTTTGGATGTATTGACGTATGGTTCAGAGATATGGAAAACAAACAAAACAATTCAACGAAAATTGAAAAGCTTCCTAACAAAATTAAATGTTTATAAAGAATTTTATTAATAAAAAGGAATTTATTGCAAATAATGAAGTGTTAGAAAGAGCTGGAATTGAAAATATCAACCCAACCATAAAAATGAGAAGGTGGAGATATCTAGGACATTTTCTTAGAAAGCTGAAGACAAGATTGACCATCAGACATGGTATTGGAAACAAACTGGAAAATGAAAACGAGGTTGTGCCTCTAGAAGTTATAGAGACAAAATAAGGGATGAGGCAAGCACTCAGGGCCCGGATTTGCTGAAATTGGAGGACCTGTCCAGGGACAGACTAGCGTGGCGTCAACTGTTCTCCGCCTTATGTGCCTGACGATATAGGGAGAGAGTAAGTAAGTAAGTTATGATGTATACGCTAATGTGATTTATTTTTCAATTTCAGGAGCACTCCGCTTTAAAGCACCTGCTTCTCCGGACAAATGGACTGGTGTCAGAGACGCCCTGGTGTTTGGGGACGAGTGTCTGCAGCGAGTGGCCGCAAATGATGTATTCAGAGATCCAAACGCTCCTAACAGCGAGGACTGTCTGTACCTTAATGTGTACACGCCGACTAAGAGAACCAGCAGCGCTCCATTGCCCGTCATGGTGTTTATCCATGGAGGAGGGTACAATTCTGGGTCAGGCTCATCCTATGATGCTACCTACGTTGCAGCTAAAGGAGTTGTATTTGTGACCATTAACTACAGGCTTGATCTTTTCGGATTCCTGTCAACAGAAGATGACATTATGCCTGGAAACTATGGGATGTTGGATCAGGTCGCCGCTCTGAAGTGGGTGAAAAATAACATTGCGTCTTTTGGAGGTGACCCAAATCTGGTCACTATTGTTGGACAAAGTGCTGGGTCAGCTAGCGTCTCTCTCCTCACTCTGTCACCGCTTGCCAAAGGTCTGTTCCACAGGGCGATCATGGAAAGCGGTTCCGCACTTTCGCCTTGGGCAGTCGAATATCCAGGAAATCGAATGACCCATCGCATTGCTGCCCGATTGATAAGCAATGCCGTTAACTGCAATGACTTAAATAATTCATCTGCACTTTTGTCCTGCTTGCAAAAAGTAGATGCAAATACGTTGCTCAAGGCATCCCTTGGAATCACTGGAGCCGTACAAGCAACCCTCATCAATGTTCCTAGAGTAGAAACAACTTTTGGTTTTCTGCCAGACAAGCCAACTGCCTTGTTGTCTAGAGGACAATTCAGCCACGTAGATACTCTGAGGGGGTTTAATAGTGATGAATTTGGAGGAATAATTCCGGCTTTAGCTGGTCCACAACCAGTCACAAGAGAGGTGGCAAAACAGATTTGGAGAGGTCAGCTGGCACAGTTTACTGATATCGACCGGGAAAAGGTACTTAAATCGATGGAGGCAACATTTCTCACAGGTAAGACAACCACTGACGCCATACAGAGAGGAACACTGGACGGTGTCGATTATTTTGTTTTTGGGGCTCCAATGGTATCTGAATTGGAAAAAGTTGTTAGCAAAGCTCCAGAAAAGAAACATTACTTGTACCAGTTCAACTACAGACCAAGCTTCAGCAAAGCGCCACAATGGATGTCAGCTCTACACGGGCAAGAGATGATATTCTGGTTTGACGCACAAATTAAATTGATCACCGATAAAGGCAATGGGATACCTACTCTTAACGACCGTCTGGTATCTCTAGAAATAATGGGAAGGTGGACCAACTTTGCCAAGACAGGGAACCCTACGACAACAATTCCTAATGCCCAAGCAACGTGGAACCAATACAGATCAGGAGCCCCGAACTACCTGCTCATCAATTCTGCTTCCGAGGCGAAACGGTTGTATTCCCCAAGGGTAGCTACTGATTTTTATCGCAAAGTTCTCGATAGTCTTCAGGGACCCAGCTCAAACTCTATTACCCCCATTGTTGGGTAGAAAATTTTAGATTCTCAATATGAAATAAATACTTCTGTAGTTATAGTTTTTGCTTTTTGGTTGTTGTTTTTTCAGTGTAGCGAACTAATTGGCATCAGTTTTCTTCTGTTCTCCTCAGTCATATTAGGGCTGGCTTGACTCATCCAATCTATCTTTTGCTTGGCCAGACTCTGTGCCATTGCAGCTTCAGTAAAAGGTGTTATTGGCTTTCGAGGCTGGCTGACTAAGTGATATTCGTAATAGGCTGCAAACCATTTTATTTTCTATTAAACATAAAAAAATACTAGGCAGACAGGACTCCGTGTCAACAGTTGCTCTTACATCTTTATTTCTCTACCTGTGTCTTCTAGTGAAGTTTAAGGTTTTTCAGGAACATTTCACCTCACAAGCAGTGACCTTACTATCGTGAGTTTTACTCAATGTCCTGGCCTGGCACAGGGGGCAAAAAGTTTATATTAATGTTAAAGTGATAAGCCTTATCTTCGTATTCATAGAGGCATCAGGCTTAGATACGAGGGATGCGAACTGATGGGTGACACTGTTAGCTTTTTTAAGTTCCTATTTCTATTTCATTACATCGGGATCCGTTTTCAGTGAAAAGCTGATATGATACTTAAACTCCTTTACCTGAATTGTGTGTGTGATATCGATAGGAATATTCCGGGAACTTTGTTCTTGGCCAATTTTCATTACCTTTGCTTTTGATGTGCTTATTTTCATGTCAAAATTTTAACAACTTTTGTTAAATTCGGGGGTGTGGCTTTGGAGGCTTTGTTGATTGTCTGAAAACAGTGGCTTGTTTAGGCTTTTTTGGGGGGAGTTCGGTCTGCGTTTTTCATCCTTTTTTGTTCATATACATTTTTATGAAAAGGAGGGGAGATATAAGTCGTTCCTGCTGTACTCCCAATGTTACTTTGAATAGTTTTGTGTTGCTTTCATTTGTTATCATTAAACTTCTGCTGTCGGTGTACATAACTCAAATATTCTCCAACAATTGTTCTCTGGCGCCATATAGATCCAGTGGTTTCCACAGGCTTGACTATTTTACTCTATTGGACGCCTCCTCCTGATCTATGGGTACACATACTACACTACAAAACACACACACATACACACACACATACATACACGCACACTTACACGCACACACATGTTAGAGGTTTGCAGTATTTGGGTAAATCTTCCTTTCTGCAGGAAGGCATACACTATAGTGCGTTAAAAAAAACTCGTGGCACAACTCATGGTCAAATAATTCCCGGAATGTCGAATGCAAACTCTCCAGTTTTTGCATAATGACTTGCATCAATATATATTGGTAAACACCTGGTAACTGTTTTCTAGAACATTTCTGAATAAATACTAATTTAAAAATCCCAGTAGGTGGTATCTAGAAATTCTGAAAGGTTTACACCTGAAAAAATAGTGCTTTTAAAAGCAAGTCTGTCATTTCTTTTCAAAGCAAGATATTATGCTTTTGAACGCATGTTCTAGGAATCATTAGTGCAAAAAAGTGTTCACTATTAAAATATTTCTTTTTGCGGCAAGTTTTGACATGATAAAGTGTCATTGACGAGCTGTGAGGTAAGAACGTATAGGCTTCCAAAGTGTGTGTGAAAAGCGGGAAGCGCTGGGAACAATTTCATTTTTCGAGTGACGGCCATGTATAGTATTCTATTTAGATTTATGAAGAAATGCTTTTTATACCATACACGGGGTTGTTTTAGCATTGCACTACTGGTAAAATAAATCCTTATAGATCTACAGACTTCAACATAAGTTATGGACCACCTTGACAGACAAAAAAGAAAGCAAGGAATGTTTCAAAACTTTTTGCTCTGAAAGTGTTTTTGCGTTACCAATGCGTACTGCAATTAAGGGGACAAAACCACAACGTGCAGCACAGAAATCCTCGTGGGAATTGTATCCAAATTTGCAAGTGGTCCTTAACTTAATATATTATGTTGAAGTCTGTATTTCGGCCAGCCTAAGGGTGGACAAT